TGGGTTTGTTTAACTGCGGAGGAAGATTTTATCATGTGACTAACTTATCTGATTCATCAGATCAGCTTGCCGTAACATCTTGGACCTTCTTTTGAATACACACAGAATGGTGAATTTTGTACAGCCTTATATGCTTCAACCAAAGTTTCAAAGTCACTATAACTAAGACATGTGATCCATTAGTTATCTGCAAACAAAAGAAACATCACAGAGTAAAGAAGAATTAAAACTTACTGATAATTTTTGAAAACCCATATTTCTTTTAAGACACTATCTTCTGATTATTACTTCTAGAAATTTCTTTGTATAATGGTGTATCACATCTGGTTGGCAGAAATTGTGCCAGTGATATTACTACTTGGAATAGGTTGAGTGAAGAGACAAGAACCTGCTTCATGTCAGTATAGTTCATTGAAGCCCAAATACAAAAATTCTCATCTTACCATATATTCTCCTATGTATGTATTCAAGTCATAAGTCAGTGAAATTTCAGACTTCCCATGGTTTGGAGTGATAGCAAAAAACTGGAAGAAATTTTGTGCTCCTGCATATGAGAGAATATATGGTACTTGACCATACTGTGCATAATTCCACTGTTCCATCTTGTCTGAAAGTTCATTTACAGCAACATTATGTTCTGATCGATTGTTCTTTTCTTCTGCCTTAAACACTAAAGTTCCATTAATCCAGACTACTACATCAGGTCGAGAACATTTTATAGTTGCACCAGATGGGTCTGCAACATTGCGATCAATCTCCAATGAAAATGGTAACCCCTAAAACAGGTTGTTAGCTCTCAAGATTCTCAGTAATCTAAACCAAGCCAAATCCTTACCTGATGCAAGAAATCCCAAATATCACGAAGCAATCAATCATATCGACTCAGCAGAGAATTTTCTGATCCACTATATTGTTGCCCTAAAGCCATTTGACATTTATATGATAATAATAACTGTCTACCAGTAACTCTTGCAACATCACCATTAATGAATGCTCATCCACCATATCACCAATCTCTTGTTTCCATTCCTTATAACGATGACTTTCAATTGGTATCTTATTATCAAATGGTTGAGTTAAGTAGCCTTTCAAACTGGGTATTGATGGTAAAGATGAAAGTGATGCACAGAAATAGTTTCTTAAAGATGTGCTAATTAATATCTTGCTTCTCATGATCTGTTAAGATGAAGGATGATAATGATGTGAGATAGGCTGCCAATGTCACAAAGATATTACAAGAGCAGCTTTATATCCCAAACACAGTTGGATAATATGAACCAAAAAGTAGATTCATGATAATGTCATAATAAAGAAACTTTCCCTCTGTTGCTCCTACTCTACCTAACCCAAACGTATCGTATCTTGCTTACAAAATCCACTCGAGCTAGATATGCAACGTTTCCACTTCGCAACCAATACTACCCTACTCTCTCTATGAGCGACCCTGATATGTGTATGGAGACCAAACATATAATGCATGCGAAACAGCATTCGAACTATTATCTCTCGCTGCTCTATTAAAACCGTATGTCTACTCTACCTATGTACAACACTACTCTATGTCCCCAACGCCCGAGTCACAAAGTGAACACTGAGCATAACCTGAACGAGCTTGAACAAATATTAACTCTAATTTCACTCCGGAATTAGTTCAAAAATGGAAACTCTGTGGTTTTACTTATGAGGAATGTGCTGACTGAGTAAATATTGAACAAGATTTGCTATTTATAATCCTGCCTATTATTATTATGCTTGGTTAAGAGATGTAAAAAGAGTTGATCCTGAATGAGTATTGAATTACGGCGAATATCAGAGACACCATTCTCTCCCGCCCGGCTTTGAAAAAAGGCGAGATTTGTATCGGCTATATTACTATTGCTTTTTGCCATCTACGGCATCTCAAAATTCCTCGAAAATTCCCTCAAAAGAACTAGACCCACTGAAGGATTTCAGCGCCTATATCATTTCCATCAAAGGACACACAAACATTATGCTAAAACCGTCACTCTTCCAATTTATTCAAGCAGCACATTATATAAATGCAGATAATGTGACTAGAAATTAAAGAACGTCTGATATGGACAATTTCTCAAACGTGCTATATACGCAAATAGTTCATCTGCCTTGCCGCTTCTCTTTAAACAATGCAAAACGACGGCGCTGGGCAAGCCATCGGCCATAAAGCTTTTCCATGTTTTCTGATACAACAATGACTTCATCCTCTTCAGCAACGATATCATCACCTCGCATGTCTGCAACCATCATAAAAACAAATGGAATTCCTTTGGGCAGCTTGTTTCCCATCTGCAAAATGGAACAGTGGATGCAAAACGAGGCGTCACTCAAAAAGCGGGAAAAAACAGTAATCAAACATGTGCCAGTAGCACAAATTTTTTATATACCTTATTTTTGTGCAAGTTGAAGTATTCAGCACGCAAAGGTTCTTCTTTAGCACGACGCATGCTCTCAAGTCCCAGGACCACTACACTGTTATTGACGGTCGCGTCCGCATTTGGCCCCGAGTCATCGCTGTTACGTTCAAAGACGATCCATGAATCTGCGAAAGTTTCATTCCCAGCCCCTATATAAGCACCTTCTTTTAGATCCTCGTTGTCATTGAAATGTCGATTTAGTTCTCTTATATAATTTCCCAGAAAATCCAGTTGCTGTATTGCTTGAGGAATCTTTAACTGTATGTTCGCAGCAGTCCCATGGAGATCTGGCAATACATCCTTCAGAGTAAACGTATTGCGAGCCGGATGGCTGAAATGCCAGTTCAGGAGTCGCAGGACCACCATTGCAACGTCACATTTTTCATTCTGATGCCAATTCGATTCATCATGGAGATGGTTAAGCAAATGTATAAAAGTAACTACCGAATCGCAGTTGTCCTGAACTCGGCCAAGAAAAAGTTGGACAAGCATGAACGGTAGCTCGACATGAATGAATCCGTCGTTTCTAACGAGACTGATGGCACCATCTTTCTCCAGATCCGTCCAACTAATGTCCGATTCCATTATCTTTGATGATGGATTCACATCTATTGGATCACCAAGCAATGCAGGCGTCAGCACGCGCAGCAAACAAGGGGTATCCAGTTGTTGGAGACGAGTGATGTACTTGGGAAAGGATGTAAGCACAAGGTGATGTACGGTATTCATCCAGCGTGCAACGTGAACAGTGTTATTACTGAACTCCAGCAAATTTTGGAATAACCGATTCCAACTGAACGAACGTGATTTGTGACTGTAGCAGCCGACTGTGTAGACCATGAGGGAGAAAAGTCGAACATTGTCTCCACAATCGGCAAGTGCAGCTGCGAACTGCCTGGGTGCATAGAACTTGAACTTTTCGATTAACGCATTAGCTTCAGTGCCTTCCTCGATTGCTTTCTTTCCAAGGCCGCACAGAATCTGTTCGTATGTCTGGACCGTCATCGGACGCAGGTGAATTAGAAAGGGCTGCATTCCGCTGACGTTGAACGCCTCTAACAACTCTGCTCGGTACGAGCTGTCGAAACTTGTAATAAGCATGTAATGGCCACCTGGACTCGATGCCTGGTTCTTGTTGAAATGGTAAGCTGCTTTCATTAACAGTTGAAGGATGTCATAAGGCGGCTTGTCGAGCAACGAATTTGTCTCGCTGATGTGCAGTAGTACAATACCCGGCAGAGAACTGAGAGTAGAGGGAGCATGAATGTGCTCCAGCACGGCCTCTAACGTGATGTCTTCAAGTTCAAGGAGACTTCGTTTGAGGACAATCTCGAGATTGGCAAGAAACCCAATGTACTTAAGGTTGCCGTTTATAGACTGGTGGAGTATACGCAGAGCAAGCACTGTCTGAGCACCTGCAATGTTCGTCACTTCGCCAGTAACGTCCCTGAATAATCTAATTTCTGTGGAGTCAAGTGGACTGACATCGAGGTCCCAGAGAAAACAACGGCCAGTGTAGTTGTCCTTGAAATGACTCCGCATAACTTTTGCACAACCACGTGTCATAAATGTTGTCTTTCCGCGACCGGGACCATCTGTGACCGTTAAATGCTGATAGCCACGCTTCCACTCCTCGTTCTGAATACTCTGATTGCTAGACACGTCCTTGGAGTCGTAAGAGGCACGCCAAATGTTCATGTTCGTTCGAACACATTCCACTAGATGACCGAGCTCCTCGTCTCGACTTGTAAATGGTAGTTTCTCTCCGACACGTACAAACGTCTATCGGAATAAACGTAAAAAGCAAAAATGAGACGAAGTGATTCTTGGTTTTTGCGGATGGCTAGAGCAGCTGACATGAAGTGAAAAAAGCAAAGTTTTGATGCACTTAGCAAGATCACAAGCAACCCATAATACCAACTCGCTCCCCGAGTCATCTTTAAGTTTCGGATTTTCTTCGTAGCCATTGAAGCGGCAACGTTTCGGTTCACTGAACCCTCTTAACGCGTTTGCCACGGCTGCTCACGAAAGTAAAATATTTTGAGCAATTGAGCGTCACGACTACTGAAAAATATGTAGTACACTTGTTCAACACCTACATTCTTCCTCTGCCCTTCTTTTTTTACCTGATGGTGGGATAGCGTTACCTGTCCGAGCTCTCGCCTCTCGCAACTCTTCCCTGCTCTTCACCACTTCATTACTCCACTTCGTAACCTCCTCATCCAGACGCTTCTTCTCCTCCGCAAGTTCGTTCTTCTCCCTCTCCCATCCTGCCCGCTGCGCCGCAGTTCCTCTTTCTCCCCGTAACCTCCCCTTCAGCTTCTCCAGCCACTGCCCATCTGCCCCTTCCTTCCATGCCGTCACCGCAGCCTCCGCCTTCTCCAGCTGCTTCCTCACCTCGTCCAGCTCTTGTTCGAGTCTTGTAACGTTTGCCATTTCTTTTTTGCTTTCGTTAGTAGTAAGAGAAGATGTGCTGCGCGCGATGTGATCTAATACCGTAATATACTTTTCACAAAGCCAACCACAACACAATAAATTTCATAACAAAACATATCAAACAATTCTATAAATAACGCTTTGCGAAAAATGTTTACATTCACTAACGAATTCTTCAACGGAGCATTAATCGGCTTCGTTCTTGGTTTATTGGTAAATTGGCTAATCTGTAATAGCCAACTCAATCGTACTGGCACAATACCTAAGACTGAAAAGTCAAGAAATTTGCAACTGATAACAAAACTGTCAGCAAACAACACTTATTCGCCAGAGGTCGAAACGTTGTGGATTTATTTTAAACGATTATACGACGAAAGAATTAAATTGGATCCAAGATTTTCATTTAACAAAATGGCGTTTGAAATTAATAATTTGCTCGACAAGCAAAAGACCATTGTCGCATATACAATAAGAAATTTTTATCTTCGAAGAACATCCCCACGGAAGAAGATCATTGACGCAATTCAACGTTGGGTTAACGAAGAAAAGGCGGGAAATGTAGCTGGAGACAGTGAAGTTAAAGAATTAGACGATAGTGATAAGGGTATTGATAACAGTAATAGTAAAGAAGACAATAAAATCTAAAATTTGCACCAGAGTGACCAAAGAATAAGTTATACTCATCAATGGCTTTGGGTCCGAGTATTTTCTTCCCATGCAATCACTCTGGTGCATATAGTATTATTTATATTTTCAAGAGCGCGCGCATTCGATAATCGAATAATAAAATTTATGCTTACGAAGAAATTGAATTATTTTTACATGTTTAACTTTTTGATTGCAATTGTGTCAAGTAGTGAAATATGATCAACGCTCAACGAATGCGCTCGAGCAGTCTTTATCAATAAGGAACGAACTTCCCGTTCGATCAGTGAGGCGTTGGCGAGAAGCTTTTTACGTTAAATTTATTTTCCTTACGTTTCTTCAAGTTTTCGTTTCTTTCTTGGTTCATCATGTGTTGATGTTAATGCTCGTTTAGTAGTTATGATTTTCCGTTCTTCTTGGTAAATTTCATAAGTAATTTTTTCTTGATCTAGATATTCCTGGAGTGTTTGGGTGTCATTGATTTTAAAAACATAGGGAGCAATTTTTTCGCCTTGAGCTTTCTTTAAAATACTTCGAATGGTGCTGTAATTCTTGGGTTCCATGGTGGATTTGATATAAATTAGTTTCATATTAATATTTTTTATATATAGAGGTAATCCTATATTACTCCTGTTATGGTTTATAATCATCCCATTTTGGTATAATAAAGGGAGCATTAAAATTAAGAAGTCCATAAGTTATGAATGAGTACCATTATTACTTTTCAGTCACATTGGTCAATTTTACAGCCACATGATAATCAGCCTCTCATTATGTCATATAATAGAATGTTCACTTTGTCTGGTTTTGTTGCAGCATGCCCCATATGTTGTTTAAAAGCCGAAAAGACAGTTTGATTAGAGTTAAAAATTAATTTGCTCGCTGTTGTTTTCAATAACTAGCTCACAACGGCATCGCATTGAATTTAATAAGTTATTTAAGACGGATTCCAGAATAGAATTCCATTCCTCTGTCATAAACTCTTCAACATTGCTCTTAGAAATAGCCCATAATTTTTCTATAGGATTAAGGTCAGGACTACAAGAAGGCCAATCCATAACCTTGTTAGCGAGAAATTCTTTAGCTACCTTACCGGTATGCTTGGGATTGTTATCTTGCTGTAAGCACCATTCTTCCCAAGCGTCTCTAAACGTTTGCCAATTGTATGATAAGACACATCAATATTATCATGGTTGATCTATTGGTAAGAGAATGTAATGATATTGATGTATTAATATTACAGTAGTTTGGCTGATTATGATTATGATAGATTTTACTATATTGACTGTTATTTTTTCGGATGACATTACTGCCTCTATTACTATGCTTCAAAGTACCAGTTTTTTTAAACTGAGACTACTTAGGCACAGAACGGACATTTTCATTCGAATAATGTAATAAAGCGTGCATCTTTCGTTCGTAAGCGTTTGTTGACATTTTGATGATTTTATTTATTCAAGACATATAGTAAAAGGCTGTTGTTTACATTTTTCAGTTGGTAAAATATGACAAAGTTTAATTAATGGTTAACTTTTTCTGCCAATAGCCAAGCTTTTTTGTCACACACTGTATGTGCCATAGACCGGAGATGTTTAGACCTAGGCTTGACACGTTGAGGTCTGATACATTGATACACAATTCCGTTTTCCACGTACCATTGTATATCTTCAACTGGACATTTTGACACTTCTTCTAGAGAATCTCCAAGCTTGGGGACCCTTGTCTTCTCAGAGAAAAACACGACCATGAAAATCATATCTCCCCGATGATAATTATATGATCAAACCCGAAATCTGCAACATTTGCTATATAGAAAGTAACTCTTTAGGATCAGTATCGTTGAGACAATCGCAACCGATAAGGTTGCAATTTGGAATCGAACGGATTCTTCAAATGTATCAATTAAGATAAGTGAATGCTATCTGATGAGAAGCAAGTTTGTCTTTCACATTTGGCAGAGGCAACATGGATTTTGACATTTGAAAGTTCTTGGGTAGAGCGAGGTGCGCGCGTTTTCTCTGGTGCATTCGTCACATCTTTGATATGTTGTATATGTTGTGCACTTCTTACACTGTTTAGGTGTGTTGGGAAGTGTTTATCACTGAGCATGGTTATTCGGTAACAGAACTTGACTAATATTGTTCTATTTAATCGAAAGTAAGTCATTGGTTGTCACTACGGTCCTAGATAGGTGTAGTAACAATTGTTCTACTCGATCAAAGAAAACTAAGGGTCCATCATTACATAAATCGTGTTCATCGTTATTATTTTCATGTCTATCCACATCAATATCAACCTCTACCTCATAATATCCATCTATTAATTTACTCTCTCTCATCCATTCTTCATATTCATTAGTAATTACTACTTTCCCGAATTGTAACGTCAGCTGTTTTATGCATTCTTTCACTATAATACGATAGGTGTCCATTCCATCATCCTTCTCTTCATTGATTGGATCTTCACTAAGAAGAAAGTTTTCTGTGAAGAACCTGTATATCTTTAAAATGTCTCCAAGAATTCTCATTTCATTAAACATCACATGATTTCCTCTAATATGTTCAAGCATCCATCTTTCACACCATTGCTTTGGATAATCCATTATATACTTATCAGAGAAACTCCATAAACAAAGAACGTCGTCCAAATCCATTGTGTTTGCCGCAATATCACAAACATTATTGCATGAAGTTGCTTTCAACATAAATTCTGAGAATGTAACAAGACATTTCGCGGTTACTTCTTCAAGCGTGATTCGTGATTGGGAGGACTCAACAAAGTATCCATTCAGCATCCTAGCAAATGCCTCAGACACATTACAAAGCAGTTGACGAGACACTGGAATTTCTACACTATCACATTCATTTGCTATTATTATTACAACATTGTTATCATCTGCAGTTTGTTGCGCCCAAGTTAGTAATTGATTATGCATCTGTTGTAGCTCATCGACATTATCATACATTATTTCAGTAATATAATTCTCAGTGTCGTTGAATGCCATGTTCTGAATTGCTCTAGCAGCCATAAGTCTCTCAGTATTAGTCATTTCGCCCCCAGTTTTAGTTTTATCCGTGACCATCTTTCTAACTGTACAATATACGGATTCAGTAGTATCCTCTGCTTCAGTATCAATTGTATCCATAGTTTGTTCAGCGAATACAATAAATCCCCACAAAGAAACCGGGCAGCAGTAACACAGACTAACACATATCATCTTATGCAGTTTGACGTTGATAGGCAAAGGATCACTGGATGTCTGTAGGGTGTCTTTGTCGAGATGAGGCATTTTCTTGGTAGTATGAATATTCTCGTCGCTAATATTACGTATGCCAGCATGGTCGTTTTGACACTTTTCGGACATTACGTTTCTGAGTTCTAGGAGACGTGACCAGACTCTTTTGGAATACAACAACTCTTGACTTTTAATCCAAAAGCTTCTTGCCTTGTCATTTGTTCTACCGCTTATATCCCGTCCATTCACTATAAGGGTACCAATAAACTTACCGAACAAGTCGTTCATAATTAAAGATTTAAATAAACTATTGGCATCCAAAAGATGAGATATCACTCGAAATACCGACATCGAAATCTCTTCAGTTCCAGGCGGCTCTCGAAATATAATTATATTCATGAGAGTTCTAATTATCTCCATTTGTGATATTAACCAACGCATAGTCTGCACGTCGATGGTGATTAGTCGCTCAAGTATTTGCACTGCTGCAACAAGATAACGGTAATCGATAAAAGAACAGCCTGATTGTTGAGACATAGTTAGATATCGAAACAACACCGGAATCATTGATATTGTACGTTGATCGAAAAAAGCTATAATTTCCTTGGGCATGAGCGGGTGTTCTATCCTACTGACGTCGAAAGCAAAGCTAGAGAGTCTCTGATCCCAATCCTTTCCGGTTAAATCTCGTACCATGATATCCAGACATTCATTTGCCACAGCTTTCCCCCACTCTCTCTTATCGGGCATATTCATGTAAACTAATGATAAACCAAACATTTGTATCAAGAACGGTATGAAGTCCGACTCTTCCTTCAGTCGTATGCGAACGTTCGCAGCTGCAGCCATATTACACAACAGTTCCATGCAAGACGCAGCTCTGATCATCTCGGCATTAGTATTCATCAACGGAACTATCTGATGTAACCCAAAAAATTCGCCTCCTCCTACGTTCATAACCAACGAGGCGCAATCCAAATCTCTAGTAATCAATGAAAGTACCCGAAACGCCGACGCGCTAACTCTCTCTTCTTCTGGTCTCGCTCGTATATTGCTTCCTGAATTATATAACTCCTCTTCGTTGACGTTTCTAGTCGCTTCAATGCCATCACGAGCTACTCGGACTAATTCTTTAAAAAATATTAGCTGTGCCTGCTCGTCTAAATCAAATGGCATGGTGTTGTGAGATCTTCTGTTTCCAAACACCTGGGGCATTGTTTCAAATAGACGACAGTCTGTCTTTCCAGGAAACACTATACGTAGGAATATTTCAAGTAACCGGAGTAGTTTTCGCAAATGGCTTTGCAGGGCGTCATCATTCTCTTGCAACTTGTTTCTTACAGTTAGTGCAACAAGCAATCGCACAATGTTGAGAGCATCATGGGGAGATGTGTGAGACCTTAACTCCGTGCTGTGTTCATAGCAGCTAATGAGAAGTTTGAGGTAAATGTTCATCAGTTTTGGACTTGATTTCCACGCTTCCGGTATTACTGAAAGATCCTCATACGTCATTAACGAAGTCGAGGCGTTACCAAATGTACGTATTGATTGTGGAAACGACAATCTTATGACCAAAACTATTGCCGTTGACAAATCTGGAAAAATTGATCTGAACTCTCGACTTCTTTTAATAGCGCGGTCTTGAGATAAATTAAATAAAGCTGTAGCCAAGTATTCCAATACGTGAAGGCTATGAACAGTTATATCAAACGCTCCGTGATTCATTGATATGTCTCTTAGTAAACTTTTAAAAGTGATCCCCTCTCTTCTTGCTTCATCCGATCCCAATTTAGCGTCTTCTACTATTCGCACGTACCAAGGGATTAGTCTAACAAAGTCTCTATGAGTTTTATTCTTTACTATTTGTTGTCGCGCGGATTCGGAAGCTTCGCAACAACAACATGTGATCAGAACTAACTGCTCCAACATCCTCAATATCTTTGCTTCGACTTGATGACCATTTAACAAAGCATTGATAGTGGGAGCTACACATGGAATTATCGTCTTCATCACTCCTTCCAGTAATTTATTGCGAGCAGACTTCTCTAATCTCATTACATATCCTATAATACGCAAAGCGGAGGTACAAGTTGAAAAGTCTAAATCTTTAAGAGAAATGTTAGTCTCTTGCCATTGAGCTTCTAGAACAGCCAAAAGACCTCGGAGTCCCTTGTTCCGCACAATTTCTGTACCAAACTTCTTCAAATTAGTCTCTAATATTGTCAATGAGAGTGTTTGAAGCTTCCTTACAGGTAACCCTAACATGAAAAAAATTTTGGAAATGCCGCCTTCCGCAACGATCGTTTGTCCCGCCAAGTCATATGTTTTCGCTCCCGCTGGCTCCTCGTTCTTGTCTAACAAGGATTTCATCAGCTGAAGACTTCGCAATCGGATGTCCAACGAGTCATCTTCCAGTGAGAACACTAGCTCCTTTACGAATGATCGTATTATATGGGGAAAATTGTCATAATGCTCTTCGCTTGCAGGGCGAGACCTGAGCAAGCGCAACACAGTAGCGAGGATGTCTTCGCATCGAATGCGCTTTTGAAGGCGCTCGGCCAGTTGGTCGGCTTTTATTCCTTGATCTTTACATCGCTTCCTATAATAGTTAAGTTTAGCTAGGAAGCGATCCATTACCCTTTCGAGGGAAGATCGCTCCCAGTGTACAAGCTCAACCAGTTCTAGTTCATTTGACGTCTTCCAAATATTATCGACCACATTATTTATGTCAAGAGCACTAGTTGCCGTGTCTCCAAGCCGCCGACATTTATTACCGTCAATAACTTCCTCTGCGTCGGTTAAGCGTCTTTTAGCAGATCGAACTAGGGGGAGTACGTGGTGGGAAGCCATTAAATTGAAAAGAATGTTAGTAGCATGCGTGTACGTCAGATCGTAAATCCAGCCCTAATTCGGGTCAAAAATTAAGAATTGGAATGGGCGGAATTACGAAAGCTAAACATCTCCAATTGGCATGGTAAATATGACGAAATTTGACTACAAGTGGGTCTCAATATAACGACACGCTTGGTTCCAATATAAATGGTCACTATATCGAGAATGTATTATATCGATAATTAACTTACAGTACATATGAACAACTAAACAATATAAAATTTTTATTCTAAGATTACTGTCGTTATAACGAGATGTCGTTATATAGCAGTGTCGTTATATCGAGACTCACTTGTAATCGCTCTTTCTAATTTAAGAAAAAAAATATCTCAAACAAGTGTAGAATTGGCACGACAAATTACTCTTGAGGAATATGTGACCTTCAATGTGTAGTACTAGTCGGTTTTCAGTAAATTTCCATCTGAACGAACGTCTTCAATAAACTCATTATTAATAAGAGACCGAAATGGGTTCAACCATCAATCCATCAATCCAGTCGCGTACACACTTGTGAAATTCAAAAAACGTTAGCCAATCCAGAAATAAATATAGCAGTCCTCCCTTACCAGATTTGGTAACGTTTCGAGTTACTAAATTTGGTAGGGGAGGGAGGTAAATTACAGAACCTATTCATTTCTTTTAGCTTAAATTCCGAGAGTGAAAAAAAAATCGTTATGTCCATGAATAATAAGTCTCTGTTGCTACTTCAACAAGCAGATTCTTCTAGCGATAGTGAAGTTTTCACACATTCGTTTCCTTTTGATAAGAACAATTAGATATTCAACCCCAAATTTGGAAAGCGATAGCGATAGGACCCAATCTATTGCCAAATTTGACAAAATACCTACTACTAAATATGGTAGGGGAAGTACTGATGAGGAAAAGAAGTTAAGCGTTACTCAAACGATGTCATTAATTTCACTACTCGCAAATACACACTAGACGATGGTGTAGTTTATAGGGAAAATATATGCGAAGACCATCGAGAACGCAGAGTAGATGGATCGTACAACTAACCATTGTCACAATATTAAATGCGCGCCTGTTATCTTAAATCAATAAATGAGTTATACGTTATCACGAATATACAAGTGGAAATTTCCTAGTTCCGCGAAGATGCAATGGTTTTCTGCAACCGGTTTGCCAATTGACTTAATATTGTAATCCGGCATTGTTACTTTGAATTTAAGCTGATATATTTCTTCTATAGTTCTGACATTTCGTGATTTCTTTCGTCTTAATATCATACTCTGGTATACAAAAAAGCGTAGTGTTATAATTTGCAAGGCCGCAACTTGTTGTAACTACTTAAACAAGAGTAGTAGTAAAAAATCTTCTATCTTATATGTTGTCCTTTGTTTTGTTGGGAATTAGTTACAATCTATTACTATATTCCTTGAGAATTCTGATAATTGCTTTCGCCAAGAATCAGAGTGAAATAATGTAATTGCAACCGTCTCCAATAATTATCTGCTTCTGCGTCACGAACTCCTCACTCATCACCGACAGTATTAATTGTTTAATGTGTGAACATTCTTCTTCTGTACTGGTTACGACGAACATTCGTGTGTTGCTTTTTATGCAAATTGTCACAATAAGTATTTGATGACGTCATGTTTCCTGTGCATTTGGCAACACTACATGAAATTTGCTACATCCTTTTCCTCATCTGCCATCTAAACGGCAGTTTTATTTCATACCATCCATCATCATGAGGTATATCTTCTATCTCAGAGAAAAGGGGTTTTGCATGGAATAATATTAAACTGACGTATTTCTGACATGTCGCAGCAAAGTTCAAGTGTCAGCCGTGAGAGAATTAGTCCGTACTGTTCTCAGCGAATCTCAAGAGAAAAAACGGAATTTCACCGAGACTATAGAGTTGCAGATAGGTCTAAAGAATTATGATCCACAGCGAGATAAACGTTTTAGTGGTACTGTGAAGTAAGTAACTCTTTTATTCACGTTCTCAGAAACGTTACTGAACCTAACATGAAATTATTTATCATGAATCCAAGATTACCAAATATTCCTCGACCCAAGATGTCTGTCGCTTTATTAGGAGACGCCCATGACTGCGATCGAGCCAAGGAATTGGGTATGGAAACTAGATCGGTGGAGGAGCTTAAAAAGCTAAACAAAAATAAAAAATTGGTCAAAAAACTCGCAAAGAAGTATGATGCATTTTTGGCTTCGGAATCGTTGATCAAGCAAATTCCCCGTTTACTGGGACCAGGATTGCACAAGGGTATGTTATATACGGACATACAATACGTATATATGTGCATGCAACTCATGAATGATATTAATAATACTCTTTTACATGCAGCTGGTAAATTTCCTACGCCTGTAACTCACAATGACGATTTAAACGCGAAAGCCGATGAATTGCGCTCCACCATTAAGTTTCAATTGAAAAAAGTGCTCTGTCTTGGTGTTGCTGTTGGCCACGCGAATATGACCGAGGATGAATTGGTGGCAAATATCATGTTGAGTATAAATTTCTTGGTGTCACTGCTCAAGAAAAATTGGCAAAATGTCAGGAGTCTTTATATCAAATCTACCATGGGCAAGCCTCAGCGTCTATACTAAGTTTGTATGTAGTATTTGACGAGTTGCGTAATATTCTGCCTCGCTGGTTAAGGTCGTTAAACCGATTTTTTTTTCAATTGTTAGGACACTTTACTTGTTTTGATACATATACGTGTAATGTATATATCTCTCAAATGGCGTATTACCAAAGTTTTGCAATTACTTGAGCAAAATTATTGGGAGCTGAACTTGTTCTGATGGAATAAAATTATATATCAAAAGAAAATCCCCCAGTCGAAATTTGAATTTATCGTGCATATTCTGGTCAATATATTATGTCCATACGTGTCCGTGGACGGCTTTTAACTTGACACATGGCTAAAATTAATGCACAAGATTGTTGACTTGTGGCATGGAGAATTAGAACAGTAATTAACAACGGTTGGTCTTAAATGCGTTGCTATTATTGCGCGTCTCCCTACATTCCACTTGAGCAAACATGCATATAGAATATACGTTTGTAGACATTGAATTGACATGTTTCAATCCTGTGATTTCAACCAAGACGCTGTGAACCTCACCAATTATTTGCACCGACTGTTCAGTACAAACCCTAAACACGATGCAAGTCTTGGCTGTGTGGCAGATGTGAGGACTTACACTACTGGACCGACCCTTAACCCTGTTCTTTTTGAAGAGATTGCTTAATGTCAGCACCACCATGCTGGGCTAATACTGATGCATGGTTTCATTTACAATAAATAAATGGATTAGACCCATAGACAGCCTGTTTTACCACTTAATTCTCCCAAAACATCTTTGATGAGTTTAAGTTATGATAATAGGTTTATTTTTCAAGACAATTAAGAATGTCTTACAAAATAGTAATGGTCAAAAGATGAGTTTAGTTTTTCATCGCAATTGTCCCTGTTAATATTTGACAACTACTACCGAAGAAGATAAATGCTGAACAACGGGTATGATTACTCGCCCGTCTAGCGAATTTATTTCCTTTTACACCCTCCGATTGCAACAGTTTTCGTCCTTTTTGACACCACCAAGGTAGATATTTTCTCAACGATATCAACAAAGTTCCAAAGTGCATATGTAATCATAACAATAACGCTCAACATCAATCCACCTACAAAGGTTACGACATCTAAATTACTTCCTTTGATCCATCCCATTCTTCTATCAGGTGTCTCCCATTCTGGAAAGACGTTCGTTTTAATCTCATCATTCATACTAGATTGAGCAGCACTAAAGAGTACATATTCTATCAATTCTGCTGCATAGCGTTTTCTCTTTCCATTAATACTAGAAAGAAACTGCATCCTTTTTGCATTAGCACGAATAGACGGATCTGTTAGCAGTATATTAATCTTCCGAGTTATCTCCGCAACTGTAAGCGAGTCTTTGGATAGAGTATGAGCTAGATTACGATGATTTAATAATCGTTGTGTGTTTGCAGAGTCAGATGGAAGTATTGGCAAGGTAAGCATTGGCGTGGCTGTGTATAGACCTTCATAGATACTCTCTGTTCCTCCGTTAGTTAGAAACACGCGTATATGTGAATGATTAAGTGTTGCAAATTGTTGGCTTAGTCCTTTGGTCACCATTATATGTGGATGAGCATGCAGAACTTGGCTGACATTGACGACCGAGTTTGATGATGGTAATATTATTGTCGGCGGAAAGTCATCCAATGTAGTTTGTCCAAATGACCAGATAACACCATCAAATATTTTCGCGTTGATTGATTCGAGAATTGACTGGAGAATAATTCCATTGTTCTTTTGTGATAAATAAGCTCGTGAACCAAGCGAAATATAAACAGTTTTCTCATGAGTCAAAAGAAATTCACGTAATGGAGTGTCGAGATCAGGGTATTTGTCTGACATTATAGGACCAACCTCCTGTGTTATATAGGCGTGCGGATTAACAATATATGAAAAGACTGTGAATAAGTATTTTATCTACGCCAATGACATTCAGATGCATACTCACCCTATACATAGGAGATAGCGGCTGAGCAACCTTGAAAACAGATTCAACCAATTGTATAATTAATGAATATAACTTCACAATTGATTCAATGGGTATCGTAAAACGTAAACACATTACATTAAATTAACTTTCAACTTACTTCAAAGCCAAAGAAAGTATTAGCAAGAAAGAGAACATTGCGAGTTCTCTCGTGCCGATCAGATACAGGTTCAATACCCAATTCCCGTCTCTGTTCATTTATTGTCTTCATTAATGGATACATAGCATACATGATCCTAGCTGGCATTATCATCGAACACCATAGTCTTTCAAAGAATGGACTGTGTTCCATTGACACATCACATCCAAAAGTAAACTCCGGTTTGTATGGGACACGTGTATCGCTCGCTATAGATTGAGAATCAAGAAACTATTATAAGCCACTCCAAATGCCAAGAATAAATGAATTGACCGTAAAACCATAATGTATCGATCAATATACACCTGACTCTAAAGATGATCCAATCATTACAACTGGCTTCTTCATTGTCCATGCAGCATCAACACAAGCGTCGTGTGAGTTGGCGTCGCAAACAAATAGGTCAATCGCCCGTTCTACTGCTACTTTTGTATACGTTCTATATGCATTCGTATATACGTCATACGCTACTTGTCTTTCGCGAATTGCATGCTGTAAAGAGTATTTTTCGAGATACATGTCACGATAGTTGGGAGATCTACTGTCGATAATGAAACCGAGTGGATAGCGGTGAATCTTCGGATATTCTACCAAAATCTGAGACATCTCTCCTTGAGCTACCAGAGACACCTTAATTGATCATGTATGTGAATTAATATAATATTAGTTTGACAAAATGGGTAATGTACATATGAGTTAAATCATTACATTATGGCCGTGTTGGATTAGGATTTTCATTATATCTAGAGTTGGTTTAAGCTCTGTAAAATCTAAACAAGAAAACGTCAATTAAAATTCTTTATAATCGTCTTGTAATAATCTTCACTAAAAAAAGAGTATACCTCCAAGTAAAGAACACACGATAATGTTTCGTTGCGGCTGTTCGATTGCGTCAACGGGCACGTCAGCGAATTCGATATCTATGGTTCGTTTTTGGGCTACAGAATTATTAAACCCAATACCGAGTTGGGTGAACACGGCCTGATGAACCCAAAAACAGAAGACTAATAAGCAGAAGTGATATTGCAGCCTAAAACTTTGTCGATTTTTCATAATGAATAAGAAGATTTCAATTACAAAGAGAAATGTTTCAAGACGCGTCGTAAATAGAGACCAATCACGTGTCATTATTATAAGCTTGCCCGCGATAATCTTACCCTTTATGGAAATACACTGTATTCACGCTACTGCGCCATCTACAGAACGAAAGAACATACTAACCACCCTGTTTTGATACTGACTGCTTTATTTGTTTACAATGAACCCTCAAGCATGACCAACCAGTGCCCTTATGGATACTGACAACGACAACTTAAACTCAGGCCCCACTCAAAGTATGTCAAGCAACCCCAAGTTCCAAGGGGAAAATACAGTGGCATCTCTGTAAGCCCTTGGGACCGAGCATTAGTTTGCATTTATCCTTTAAAGGAAAGGTTTTCACAATTACATGTCATTCCTTAAACGTTGGCGTTACATGTTTTATTTGAAATTTAATTATTAGCTAAAAATTGTGTTAAGCTGCTTTGTTTCATTGGATTCACTTTTTTTCTATACAGTGAACTACTGTCTATAATCCCTTCGTTTATAGCCACACCATATGAAAACTCTGTCTGTAAGTCACTTAGTTTTCATACCTGAAAATTCTTATAGTGCTCGTTGCTATCGAGCTGGATTAATGGAGATACTATTTCAAAGGAACATGCAAGAAGAAAAGAAATTCTCCAATCTATTGATAGAAGAGAATTTATAATCTGGCAACATAAACAATACATATTACAAGAAGAGGCGAAAATGAAGCGTCTCCAACTGGAGCTTTTATCCCAATCTACACACTCAGAAAAGGATAAATTATGTACCACAGGCTGGGATGAGCGCCCAACCACAAGCTGTCGCAGCATTTATTAATTTGGTCTTTCCATCTTCACCCTCTTGTTGATTCCTCCCCAATTCGGTTTGACTTCTTCCAGTAAATTGAGCATTTACGGTTTGAAGTTTTGTAGAGCCGGTCACGTGGCATCGGTATCATATGATCATGATGCGCGTTTAACAGACTCCAAATTTCGAGCCAGCTTGTATTTCACCTGCCAGGCAAGAAATACAAAATAACTTACTACCTACCATCTATAAACCATCTTAATCAGCCAAAAGGTACCACGTTAAAATTGAGAGGTGGGATAGAAATCACGACAGCAGAAAATCGCGGATCGCTGGTATTTTGATAAAATACGTACACTTTGGTGTAATGTAACCGCATACCGATTTAGGGTAGAGGCATAACGACAGTCGAGAATCCGCGTTATACCGATCGTTATTTGGAGAACCGTGAGTATATAGACACAATTTAAAGGTCACCATAACTGTATTAGCGGAGTAGAAGTTAGCCAAGCCTCGATTGAAAGAGCTAAATCCCAAGGCCAATTA